TCATTGTATACTTAGTGGCATTTTTACAGCGACATGAACTATTCTTTGACAAGTCTACCAAAGGATAAAACATGGAGAGCAACAATTTCTAAAGAAAGTCACACATTCAATTCATACTCCATTTTTAAAGTTTCCTTGTAATATGATGTGTATTATTTTTGTCTGTATGTAGACAGTATAAGTGGCAGGAAAAGACCCCAAATGTTATACCTAGTTTACTCATGAGAATATCTCCTACTGTATCCATTATATTATTCTTCAATGAAAGTTGAAAAGATACCCAGACAACACCTACAGTTTTTGTTTCCTGTTACTAAATGAACCCTCATTTTACAGCATTTTAAAGAAATAAAGGTGATCTCCAGCCCCTTCATTCGTCTCACACATAAAATATTTATGTTAAAAAAGTTACCAATGATTAAAGAGAAGTTAAATCTCACCTTTTTCAAAACATTTGAAGCACAGCTGTCTGGGAATTATGTAGGGACAGGAAAGAAAAAGATTATGTAAATTGTATGTGGTAGTGTGTAAAATAGTATTAATGTTCAAGCATGACTTTAATAAACTAGACATAATTAATGTAAATGTGTTGAGGCCATTAACGTCTTGTAAACCTCTATCAGGTGAAATTAAATTTTCTTTTTACATTTTTCTGATAGAATCCTTGGTAATAAAACAGAACCCACATGACATAAAAAGCTGTTTTATTTGTAAATATGTATGCACATATGTTCTATGAATGGACTCTTAGCCGTATAACTACACAAAAGCTTTTCTACCAAGTGTTGTTTATCACTGTTTTGGAATATCAGTGTTGTGTTGTGGGAAATCTAGCATGCTTTAAAAATCTAGCAGAATCAAAAAGGAAAGCAGAGTGAAAAATGACACTTGGTCGCTAGTTAAAACTAGAAGCTAATAAATCTCATCATCATACAATACTGACAGGATGACATTGGTTCAAATAGAACGAGAAAGCTGAATAACAAGTATGCACGTTCTTCAAACAACACATACAGTGAACTGCAGGAAGTAATTCTTCTCAAAAGAGTCCATTAATATCGACTAGTTATGGTGGGTTGACCTTGGCCAGCTTCCAGGCACCCACCCAGCCAGTCTCTTACTTACCCTTCTCAACAGGACAGGGGACGAAAATTAGATGAGAAAGCTTGTGGGTGGAGATAAAGGCAGGGAGATCGCTCACCAATTACCAGCACAGGCAAAATGAATTTAATTGGGGAAAATTATTTGAATTTATTGCCAGTTAAATAGAGTTGGATGGTGAAACACAAAGACAAAATTAAAGCAACACCTCCCCCCTCCTTTTCCCCAGGCTCAACTTCACTCTTTCATTGCCAATTCCTCTACCTCCTCCACCCCAAACAGTGCAGGGGGATGGGGAACTGGGGTGGTGGTCAGTCCATAACAGCTCCAGCGTGGGTCCTTCCCATCCATGGACTGCAGTTGTTCAGGATAAACTTGCTCCAGCACGGGGTCTTCCATGTACTGCCATGTGGATATCTGCTCCACCGTGCTTTCTTCTGGGGCTGCAGGGCGATCTCTGCTCCCATGCCTGGAGCACCTCCTCCCCTTCAGTTTACTCTTGGAGATTATAATTTTGCTGCTGCATGTGCAAGAGAGTGTATGAGCACTTGTTCAGAATCTGATTTTTTTCAATGAACTTAAGCTGCTCAAAAGGTCTATTGAATTTCAGTTTATGCTGAACTATGCAGAAGGTGGAGTGCTTTGTTGTATTGACTTCGTAGCCATTTCTGTGAAGTGTTAGACTATGGTGATATAGTCTAGATAGCAAAGGAACAGGAGAAGGGAAGGAGAGCAAGGAAGCTGAGAAATGATTAAGCATAGTGCCGTGAAATGGGCACAAAGACAGTTGGTTAATCTAGATAGAGAAGGAAGAAGTATTTTCTTACTTATTTTATTATAAATTGCTCAATTTATCCTTTTTCCATCCCTTTAATGTTTTTGATATTCTCTGTAGTGTTCATGAATATTACGCTCATTTTGAAATAATTTATAAATTTAACTTACATTTGATGACTCCTCAGAGTAAGTAGGAAGTTATGGATGGAAAATCCAGATTGAATTTTAGGAAATGGCGTTGTATTTTAGAGTGGGAATAAAACAAATTTCTCTGCTGACACTTTACTTTTAAATTGACAAACCTTTGTCAATGAGTATTCTGGTTATACAGAGAAAGTACATAAATATTATTTATTTAAGTTAGTGTTCCTCATCTTGTCTTGATTTACTAACACCACTTAATCTCTTACTTGCCTTTCTAGATCGATTTGCAGTATTAGCAAACAATAATCTCCAAATTCTTAACATCAATAAAAGTGACGAAGGAGTATACAGATGTGAAGGAAGAGTGGAAGCCAGAGGAGAAATTGACTTTCGGGACATAATTGTTATTGTGAATGGTAAGGAGTAAAAGTTTTTTAATTGACTTCTTGCTTTACTTGATTATCATAGCCTATTTTAAAATATATCAGCTTCTAAAAAATCCTGATTACATTGGTTAATATAGTTGTCATGTCTGTTTAGTGTTGTTTTCCTATAAATGTAATTGCTTAATTTTTTTTTTTTTAAATCTACTATATTGTTGTACTGGTTTTGTCTGGAATAGAGTTAATTTTCT